AATCCTGGTTTTCTCACTTCCAGTGTGTTTTCTGGCCCCATAGTGCTGGCGGTCAGTACCCAGTGACTGAATCTGGGGCTTGAGCCTGACTCCTGCACGCTGTGCATGTGCCTTACTAATTCCAAGTTCAGGCTTAGCAGGACTGGGCGAGGGCAGTGCTGGGAGGCAGGTGCGAGACTCGGGACCACTGCTTTCCCTTCACTCTTCCTATGCTTGTGCCTTCTTCCGCATCCCCTCTCACCTGACCTTCCCCTGGTTGCTACCTTCCTCCCAGGGCACAGCTCTGTGTCCCCTCTCCAAACCGTCCCTCCACCCCCACCCTCCCACAGGTCCTGGCTATGCACCCTTGCGCGAAGAGGCAGTGCGGCTGTTCCTGGCATTGCAGGCGCTGGAAGGGGCGCGGCGCCCCGGGCCCCTGATGCAGGGTGTGCTCCAAACCTGCCAGGACCTGCCTGCGCTCCAGGATGAACTCTTCCTGCAGCTGGCTAAGCAGACCTCAGGCCCCAAGGGGCCTCCGGGGCTCCCCGCCACCGAAGACCCCGCAACCTTGCGGTACTGGCAGCTCCTTACCTGCATGAGTTGCACCTTCCAACCAGGGTGTGCCGTGCGGGATCACCTCCTGGGACATCTGCAGAGGTGAGAGGGGAGGGACTGGGGTTAAGGCCAGAGTGAGAGAGCTGCAGGGCTGGGAGAGGTTTGCAAAAGGTTTTTATGGAAGTGATGAGACTTGCCCAGAGTCAGGGCTGCTGCTAAGTTACATTACACAGCGCCCTTGTGGGAATTGTCAAAATCACATCTCAGTTGGGATCATACAAAGGGCTGCCCCTTGCTTTGGGCTGAGAAATGATATTGGAGCGCTGCTTTTCCTCGCGCTGAGGAAGGGGGGGGGGGTCCAGACTGCAAAGGGATCACCGAGTCTTGTGGGAGTGAGCGGGAGCAGTTAGGAGCTCGCTGCCAAGGGCCCTAGAATGGAAGAGTTGGGCACTAACTTCAAGGAACTGGAGTTGGAGCGGAGGAACCCGAGGAGACCAAGTGAGCTCCAAGGACCGGGAGGCTGAGGCGCTGGGAGAGCCTCAGCGAGCTTGGAGCTCGACCTCAGCGATCCTGCCTCCTCACCCAGGACGGAGCAGGCGCTGCCGGACTCGGAACTCGCAGAATACGCGCGCTTCATCCGGAAGGCGCTGAGCCGGACTCGCGGCCGCGAATTAGTGCCGTCGCTGGCGGAGATCACCGCACTGAGCCACCGGCAGGAGCTACGGTGCACGGTGCACTGTCCGGAGGCTGGTGCTTGTCTGGTGACCATCGACTCCCACACCACGGTGGGCGAGGTGAGGTCCCAGAGAGGCCCTCGCACCGCTAGCCCGTCTTTCTAGCTTCTTCCGCCCGCTTTTGCCCCAACCCTAAGCGTCATTAGTTTGGCAAGGGAGGAACTCTGCGCCCTCTCTCTCTCGTTGGACCAGAATCCTGGTTTTCTCCCGGGCTGCGGGGCCGGAGGGGAGGGGAAGGTCTGACTTTTCCCACCCCCTCACTTCCTTTCTAGGTGGCAGAAGAGCTGGTAGGGCGACTGGGCTTAGATCGGAGTAAGAACTCAGTTGCGCTGTATGAGCAGCGAGGAGCCCAGGAGCGAGCCCTGGCCGGAGGGACCCTTATGGCTGACCTGCTCACCAGGTTTGAGAAGTAAATGTCCAATCCCAGCCCTGTGGTCTACTCGTCCCTCTACTGTTCCGTCTAGGTCACTCCCTAAGCAAACGGTGGAACGCTGGCCACGTGGATGCCACGCGCCATCCGCTGAGATATGCGGGCGCGATTAGCCCTGCGATTAGCTGGCGATTAGCTGATGGGACCCTGCCCGCGGGCAGGTCTCACCCGCTCTCACTTCCGGGCTCCTCGGCCCGCCAGGCTCCGCCCGGGCGTACGCGTCCCGCCCCCTACGGCTCCCCAGCCCTGCCCGGCGGTCCTCTTCCCGGAGGGCCCGGTGGCTCCAGTGCCTTGCACTTTTTCCCCACCTGCAGTCTGGCCGTGGAGGACCCCGAGCTGGAGGACTCGCCAGACTCGGGGTGTAGATTGTGTCTACGTCTACTTGGACCGATGGACACGGAGGAGCTGTCCCCGGACAATCAAGAACTGCCTTTCGTCTTTGAGCAGGTGAGACGCTCGCGAACTCATCCGAGCCCGAGTGCGAGCCCGGGCCGAGCCCGAGCCCGAGCCACCCTCTTCCTGGGCCATCTTGCTTACCCGGTGCTGTCTGCCATGTGCTGCCGCCTCCGGTCCCCTGATGCCAGGTGACTTCCTCCCCCTCCTCACCTCCAGGGTCACGCTCTGCTACTGCATGGTCGGCCGCCCCCACCTGATGACACCCTGCGCGCCCTGACGACGCTGCGCCTGCAAAGCCTGCACCGGGAGTTCTCGCCGCGGATGTCCCTGCCGCGCCTGGACTGCCTATTATCGCCTCTCGGAGACCCACCTTGCCCGATCCCCAGGCCACCGTCCTCCGCCGCCCTGCTGGCCGGGGCCCTGTGGAACCCTGGCCTGGCCAAGAGGCGGGCAGAGCGGGCCCGGCGCGGCGGGGTGGGCCGTCCGGCAAGAATCACGGCCGCTGAAGAAGGAGATGGCGGCGCCAGCTCAGGCACGGCAGCTGCGGTGCTGGGCAGCTGGAAGCGGCTCCGAGGCATGGGCCGAGCGGAGGCCATGGCTGCCTACCTGGCTCTGGCGGCGCAGTGTCCGGGGTTTGGCGCTGCTCGGTATGACGTTCTGGAGCTGAGCACGGTGAGGGGAGAAGGGAGAAGGGGGACTGGTGGCCGAGCTGAGCACCTCTGCCCCAGAGCCGCGAGCGCCTGCTGGGCTGCCCGGCTCGAAACCCCTGGCGTCACTGCCCCACCTTCCCCATCCCCCATCCTACCTCCTGCATGACTGTGTCTCCCTGGAGCCATAGCCCCCTTGGCACTTGGCCTTATGAATCCTAGAGGGATGGAGAAGGCCCTTTGTCTGTTCCATCTCCCAGAACCAAAGATAGTGCTTTGCTTGTCTGTCTTTAGGAACCTGGTGGAGGTGTTCCACAGAAGCTATGCCTGGGCCTGGGAGCCAAGGCCATGTCCCTCTCCCGGCCAGGTGAGACAGAACCCATCCACTGTGTCAGCTATGGCCATGTTGCCGCCTGCCAGCTAATGGGCCCTCACACCCTGGCCATAAGGGTGGGAGAGAACCAGCTCATCCTGCAGAGCCCCCAGGTGAGTGGGCAGAGGGTTGTGGAAGAAGGGAAAGGAAGGGATGTCAGGAGACAGAGTGCCAGCCTGGCCCAGGTACAGTGCTAAGATGTTAGCAGTCAAGACTGGATACCAGAAGGGAGGAGAAACAAGGGCCTGAACCTGAACAAAGGACTCTCAAGCCGGCTCCATGGAAGACAATGGTAAATGCTACGAAACGAACAGCTGTGGACTGCAGGGACTCAGGCATTAGGGTAGCCAGGGAGAACTCCTCAAACAGGGTGGCATTTCAGCTGGCCTTGGGGAAATCTGGGAAACAGCAGCCAGAGTAGAGGGAGCTACAGGAGAGTAACTTGGGTGTGTTAGAGGGGGCAGAAAGACACAAGAGGACATGTCGCAAGCGTGAGGAGAAATGGTGATGTGGAGGGAAAGGTTGCAGAGGCCCAAGTATAGGTAGGGCCCCAGAGCCTGGGTGGAGGAGAGAGAAGCCTGCCGCCCCTGTTGCACACTGCCCTCTGCCCTCTCCTAGGTGGAAGAGATCATGCAGCTAGTGAATGCCTACTTGGCCAGCCCCTCCCCCGAGAGGCCCCGCAGCCCTTCTCCTCCATGCCAAGACCTGCCAGACGCCTCCCCTCCCAGCCAGCACTCGGGCCTGGATGAGCCCCAGGGACAGGCTGGCTGCTTGGGGCAGCTGCAGCACTGAGCCTGCCAAGAGGTCGTGACTCCCCTCCTGCCTCCAGCCTGGGCCAGGACTGTTGTGAGATTTGAGGGAACCATGGTCTCTTTGGGCCCTGCAGGGACGGGGTACATCACACACCCAAAAGCTGCTATGGGTGTGGACGATTTTCTAGTTTGTTTCTTAATTTATTTGTAGAAGAGAAGCAAAAAAAAAAAAAAATCTTATTTACACAAAGCCTTCCTGTGGGAGCGTCATTGTTGCCGGTGGGTCGTGTTGAAGCCCCGGGAGCTCAGAGCTCCGCCCCTGGGGACGCCCACACTCTGCACTTTTACCAGGCACTGAGGAGCCTGGACACTACACAGCCCCACCCTCCTTGACCTCCTGGATTTAACCTCCTCCTGACCAGTGTGTTGCCATGGCAAGGTGGGTGGGGCCAGCAAGAAGGCAGTATTGGAAGCTGGCAATTACTCACCCTGTGCCCCTGAGTGGTGAGGGGTGGCCTCCCAGCATCCCTGAGGCTGGAGGGCACTGAGTCATCAGGATTGGCACTGCCCAGTTCCTCCCCTGGCGTCCTGCTTCGGGCCCCCGTGCTGGGGTCTGCCTTTGGTGTGCCTGCTGCTTTGGATGTGAAATGGAAAGGAGCTTGGGCAGGATACAGACCCAAGAACTCCTCTGGCTTGGAAAAGCCATTTGCCTTTTCAACTTGGCTCTTGAGTCCTGTTCCTGCTTATCAAGTTTAGTTCCTAGGAATCCAGAGGCCTTGAGCACTACAAATCCAGAATCCTGGCTTTGCTGGCTTGCTCAGAATGCAGTAGGCCCCACGTCCTCTGTCCTGAGGGCAAGAGGTCAGGGCAGACTCCATGTACCCCCAGGTAAGAGCTTGGATACTAGACAGCTGACCTCCATAATCTTCTGTGACTGAGAGTGCTGGCTGCACTAAGGCAGGTCCGTCGTTCATGGTGAGAGACCCCAGTGGAAATGGGACATTAGCTAGACTAAGCAGCAAGAGACCAGAGCAGGCAGGGGCCACCTTCCGACCCTGTGCCTGGAAACCGGAGATCCCGTCACCCCCACCCCCAGTTCAGCACAAATCCTGACTGCTCACAGACACGCTTTATTACTTTATTAGAGCTGAACAAGCATATCAAGGGTCAGGGCAGAGCAGGGAGGAAGTAGGGCCAGCTCTTGGGCTGGAGATGAATCTAGAAAGGGTGAACATGAAGTGAGGTTGGGCTGGAGGGACCAGGTGTGGAGGCCACTTCTCATCCAGGAAGAGTGGTGGGAAGGGAAGTCACTGCTCCTGGGTGCCCCAGGAGATGTAGTCCGGCCGGGTGGCTGCATGGTACTCATCGATGAGCTCCTGGACGACCTCCCTGGACCTGTCCATCTCGTCAAAGTTGTCCTTGAAGATGTCCTCCTTGCGGAATTGTTCCAGGAAGGCTCCCCGCTTCCACAATTTGTCATACTGCTGGCAGGAGCTTTCAAAGAGCTGAAGGAAGTAGGAATCTTCAGAATATTCCATTGTAGGGCGGGAGATTAAGGAACTGGGGGTTGAGAATGCACAGGGCCCTGGCAGAGGAACAGAGCAGCCAAAGAACAGCAGACTCACTGAGGAGATGCTGGTGTGGTTGGCCATCATGAGCCCGCTGACCCGGTGGGCTGAGGGCAGGTAGGGAGACTTCCTTGACAGGGCCACCTGGATGCTGGCCGGACCCCAGGGGATGAAGTTGGCTAGTTTGCGCTCCCTGATCCTCTGCAGGCTCTTATGGACCTGGCAGGCACAGGGAGGGTGAGGGTGGCCTCTTTCCTGGAGCCCTGTGGCTTCAGGGCTCGAGGGCAGGTGGCTCCCCTACCTGGGTGGGGTCCACCTCCCCCTGGATGATGTTGAGGATGGCGATGTAGCAGTGGTTAGTCTGGCGGTCCCGGCCTGTGGACACCATCACGTTCTTGGGCTGCAGCAGCCTCCGCATGACGTCCAGGACCGTGGTCTTCCTCACACTGGCCACCTGAGGCATGGGACAATGGGTCACAGGGGTCAGCAGGCAAGGCACTATTCAGGGATGCAGAGGAGGCAACATGTATGTCCTGCAGACTCAGAGCAGATGCCGTCTGCCGTGGCAGGGGCATCTCCATGGTTCTCAGCCCAGCAACTCCCAGGGTCCCTGTGCCACCACAGCAGCTGTCCCCATGGCCTCCCAGGCCACAGGATCACAGAGCAGAGGGAAGATGGAGACATGGCAGTGAGGCCTTAGCTTGCTCTGTGCCAGTCCCTGAGCATGAGGCCTCTGGGCACTGCCATGGGAGAAGAGAAAGGCTGGTTCAGGGCCCGGCCTGGGGACCCTGATGGCTGCTCTTACTGACTGGTCCGTGGTGAGGGGGGTGTAGCCGGTCATGAGGAAGTGGAGTCGGGGTGTGGGGATGAGCGAGGCAATGAGGCCGATGAGGTCGTTGTTCATGTAGCCGGGGTAACGCAGGGTGGTGGTGCTGGCTGACATGATGGTGGACACCTGGGGACGGGAAGGCGTGTCATGGGCCTGACCTGGGGAGGACCTCCCTTCCGCAGAAGCCCTCCAGCAAGAGGGCGTCCGATGTGATGGAGTGGAGCTCACCAGCTGGTTGATCTGGGAGAAGGACGGGTTCTGGATGTGCAGGCGGTCAGTGGCTATCCGGTTCAGGGCTGTGTTGTCCAGCACCACCTGGGGAGACAGAAAGGGTGGGGATAAAAATAAAAGATTTGGTCAGTACTTGTTATGCTCTAAAACTGATCAGTAGCTTTGTTAATTTCAAAAGAAACGTTTCTTTGGAGACAGTTTGAGTTACTTTGGGCAGTGCAGAGCTATAAACACATCTGTGAGTGCCTCCACAGGCTACACACTTAGGCTGGACTGCCCGCAGAGAGGCACATGGCCATGGCCTTCACCGGAGTTCACCAGTCTCTAGTTTGGTGGGGGGAGGCTAGCATGAAGAATAAAACAAAGGAATGAAGTTTGTAATCTGCAATATGGTGAAGGGAGCTGTGCTTGACTGAGTAGCCAGCAGAGATTCTGTTAAAAAAGTGACATCTGAGCTGAGAATTCCAGCCTAAGTGGGCAGATCAGTGTAGGTGCTGGGGGTGGAGGGAAGACTCCTTTTATTGGGGAACTTGTCACCTAAAAGTGTAAGTAACTAGGAGGCTGGGACCTGATTTTTGAAAATCGACGCTCCTTGCACAGTGCAGGGTCCGGAGCAGGACTGTGCGTGATGCAAGGCAGCACACTGCAGCCCCCGACCCTCTCTGCCTTTACTCACCACGCAGTCTGCATTCTGGGTCAGCCTCTTGAGTGTGAGCAGCGAGTTGTAGGGCTGCACCACCACGTCACTCATCTCATCTTGGTTGGGAAACACCGAATATGTCTGCACCAGTTTCTTGGGGTACCTGAGGTTGATGAAGAAGGGAAGAGTAGGGAAGCCCATTCAACTGTGCATAGCTGTCTTCCCTGGGGACAATGGACACCATTTCTTTTCATTGAGCTCTTGCATGCGGGGGGGGGGGGTGGTCACAGAATTCAGTGTTTAGAATTACAGAAGCTGCAAGCACCTGGGTGGGTTTGTCCCTGTTACTCAAAAAGAGTACCTAGGGGGCAGACCTTCTTGGGGACAAAAAGGACAGCCATCAGCCATGGGACCAGGGCTCATGGGTTCCTCTCCTGGCCCCATGGCCCCCTAGGACACAGGATCACAGAGCAGAGGGAAGATGGAGACATGGCAGTGAGGCCTTCGCTTGCTCTGTGCCAGTCCCTGAGCATGAGGCCTCTGGGCACTGCCATGGGAGGAGAGAAAGGCTGGTTCAGGGCCCCGGCCCGGGGAACCCTGATGGCTGCTCTTACTGACTGGTCCGTGGTGAGGGGGGTGTAGCCGGTCATGAGGAAGTGGAGTCGGGGTATGGGGATTACCTGTCATTCAGCCTCTCCAGCAAGTAGGAGCCCATGCCAGAACCTGTACCTCCGGCGATGGAGTGACACAGCACGAAGCCCTACGTGGAGTGAAGGACAGTGTCCAGAGATCTGGAGGAGAGCTCAGGCTTATCTCACCCACCCCCTCACAGCACACTCATGTCGCAAGGCTTCCTGCAGGTCCTCTTAGTTAGATGCCCCTGGGGAAGACAGAAGCTGAGCTCATGCTGAAGGATTCAGACCTAAAAAGCTGAAGCCCTCTGGGTGCTGAGAACCAGGACTGCACCTTATCTACAGCAATATCCCAAGTCAGAGACTCAGTCAACAGGCAAGGACACCTCGGCATTCTGTAGCCCCTCCCCACCGCATCCCAGGCGAGCAGGGACCTCACCTCCAAACTGTCACTTCCGTCTGCTTCTCGGTCTATGATGTCAAAGATGTCCTCATGGATCTTCTCCCCCTGGATGGGGCCACGGGAAAGATGGTCAGGGTGACAAGAGAATACCGTGCCGACCTCTCCCCCAAAAGCAGAGCCTCAGCTACAGCCCTCAATGCAGAAATGATACTTTGTGGATGATTTACACAAAAATCTGACAAAACCTCTCTCCAGCTGTCCCTTGATGAATGCATCACTTTATCTCTTATGTTCAATCTGGTCTGTGCCACTTCCAAGGTTGCTCAAGTCTGCCTTGCTTTGCGAGTGGGGCTTGGGGAAAGGCAAAGAATTTGACACCTGGGAGAATCCCCTGGCCCAGTTGTTGCCAGCTCCACCTCCATGCTCAGCCAGGTAGATGTTTTCTGGGTTGTAGAGCTTGGCGTAGGGAGAGTTGAGGATGGAGTGGATCACCCGGGGCTCCAGGTCCAGCAGCACGGCTCGTGGGATGTAGTGCTCATCGTCTGCCTAGGAGCAGGGGTCCAAGGAGGGGCCCTGTCAGCCAGCGCCCGCCTGGTCCTCAGGCCCCCCAACCCTCGCTCATGCCTGCCCGCCTGCCTCAAGCTGGGGGGGGGGGAGGGGAATGGGCTGTGCCCAGTGTGGTTTCCAGTACCCTTCTGGATCACTGGGGGTGGGGGTGGGGGGTAGGGAGATTAGTGTACTGGGGCACCTGGTAGAAAAAGACATCCTTGCGGTCCGTGCCCTCGGTGGCAAACTCCTCCACGATGCCCTCCGGGCTGATACCATGCTCGGCACACAGCTGTTTCCAGAACTCGAACCCAACTGGGAAGGAATAGGGACAGGGGGAGACGCCTGGGTCTGCGAGGGCCAAAAGGCCTGAGAATTCCAATGTTAGAGTTCTGAGGCTGCCACAATCTGAGGGTGGCGGATGTCAGGACGCTGGGCCTGGGAGTTGGCACTGCACGGGCTGGAGGCGCAGCTCTCAGCCTGGGTCATCCCGCGCAGTTGGGGCAGGGGCCTCTCGACAGGGAGAGTGGGACTGATGGGTGCCAAGGGGGCAGGAGGACAGACTGCTCACTCTGGTTGCCGCATTGGCCCAGCTGCAGGGTGATGATCTCCCGGGGCATCGCGGTCCAGACGCGGGCGGGCACGCTGGCCCCAGCCCGGCGGGAGTCACGGCTGAGACGAAAGCCTGGCAGCCGGGCGCGCAGGACGTGGGCAGCGCGCGCTCTCTTTGCCTTTTGACGCGAGGCCTCGGTCTGCGCGTGTGCAGTGCGGGCCTCTCCTCCACCAGCCAGCCCCGGAGCCCATCCTGGGCATCATTTTCTCCCGTAGCAGGAGCAGCTGGAATTCGGCACAGGCGCAGAGCGAGACCACGCCCCCCGGCTGCCACCGCTCTGCGCCTGCGCCGTGAGGCTGGCTGGGGCCCGCAGGGTCGCGACCGGAGCTGTGGAGGAGGGGAGAGGAGGGGAGAGCAGGGGAGAGGTGGGGAGAGGAGGGCGGCCGGGTGGACCAGGCGGTGCGGGTGGAGGTCCCGATTCCCTGGGGACTGTGTCGGCTCTGCTGGGATCGGGATTTGGATCCGAGCCAACTTTCTTCGTTTACATTTCTGGAACATATCCGTACACAGCATAAAACTGATTTGAGTCATTTAAGTAGACGGTCCTAAGGCCATTAAGCACATCTTTCTTGCTCTATAACCACGGTCCATTTTCAGAAATTCTTCATCTTTCCAAACTGAAACTCTATCCATGAAACCAGCGGTTTCCCACCCCGTCTTCCTCTTAGACTCGAGAAATCACTCTTCTGAGTCCCTGAATTTTGTATATGCAAGTGTTAGGATTCCTCCATTTTGTAGCGTGTGTCAGAATTTTCTTCCATGAATAGTCCATGGAATTGATACACCCCATTTGTTTATCCACTCGAGCCTTGATGAGCATTTGAGTGACTTCTATCTGTTGGCTATGGTGAGCGTTGTTTCTTTGAATATATTTGTTCCACTCCCTGCCTTCAGTCTGTGGGCTGTATATACCTGGAAGTAGAATTGCTGATAATTCTGTTTCCTTGAGGAACTGCCAATATTCTTTCCCACAAGTGGCTGCACAGTGTTACACTCCCACTGACAATGCTGAAAAATTCCTGTTGTATCCCCACTAACTACTTTCTAGTTTTTGATCATAGCCATGTTCTTAGGTGTGAGGTAGCATCTCATTGTGCTGCCTATCTTACTTTAAATTACATGAAAATGTTTGTAGACAACATGATTTTATATTTTCTGTTAGGAAATTTACATAACTGACACCGACATATAATATTAAATTTTTTTTTACCTTTCTTTAGGACTTTTTGTGATTTAGCCATCTCAATATGTGATCTGCATTCCTTTAAACTGCCATATAGTATTTCATTAGACAAATAAAATCAGTCTATTCTAGTTCCAAATAAGTGTAGCTGGGTTGTTCCTGATTAGAGGTGGACAGAATGGGAAAAGATCAATTAATGGTAAGAGAGTAGGTAGGAGAAGAGGTTTGGTGTCCTTTTGTCCAGTAAGTTGACCACGGATAACAATACAATCTTTATGATTTCTTAAAAAGCCAGACGCATAGAGATGATCATGTTTGAGGAGATAGCTTTGTTTACTCTGGTGGTTTGAACCATAAACTATGTATGTTTGGAGACATTACATTGTATTCCATAATTAGCTACATTTTTATACATTGTTACAAAAAAGAGAAAGGTGGTTCTGGCTGGCATGTCCGGTTGCAATCATGAGCGAGGTTGCTTTGCTTTGCTTTTGTTATTGACCTTCTGGGAATTCTTCCTCTGTTTATATCCTTCACCTACTTGTCTTAGACAATGACTGCCTGTAAATTCGTTCTGTGTGGCTGCAAATATCATCGGAGCCTATGTGGCTGGGTTTTTGTTTTGTTTTGAGATTTATTCATTTAATCCAGTAACTCACAAAGGGAGAGACATGGAGAAGTCCATTCACTGGTTCACTCGCCAAATGGCCGCAATAATCCCAGCTGTCCCCAGAAACTCCATTGGGGTCTCCCATGTGCATGCAGGCTTCCAAGCCCTAGAGTTATGCTCCACAGCCTTCCCAGGCGTGTTAGCAGGCAGTTGAACGGGAAGTGGAACAGCCAGCACTCCAACCAATACCTATATGGAATGCTGCTGTCCCAGGTACGCCTGTTTCTATGTCGTTTGTACATCTGGGAAGTGTCTTTTGCCATAGCAAAGATGTCAATTTTAACGTGGACAACACTATTCATCTTTTTCTTTGTTTCAGTAACTTAGGGACCACCCCCTCTCCTCCGCTCCCCACCGCCTCTACTCCCAGTCTCATACAGCGCTCCTGGGTTTTCCTCTAAAAGCTGCCCAGCAGTTTTTGCTTGTTCCCGGTAGGTCTCCAGTTCATCTGGAATTTATTTGGAGGCCTGCCGCGAGATAGGGAGCTACTTTATTTCTTCCATATGGATGGGCAATTGTCTCCGAACCAATTACGGCGGAGCGGGCGAGCGCCTCCCCCTGGAACATTCCGAGCCCCCGCTCCGCGGCCGGCCCGCTTCTGGCCTGGCTGCGAGCCGCGCCGGAGGTCGGGCGGCCTTCTCTGGGAGCCGCGGCGGAGGTTGGCAAAGGTACCACCAGGACCCATGCTCAAACCAGGGGTTTTGTTTTCTCTCTCTTTTTGTTTTTAAGGAGAACTCGGCCGCCTTCCAGGCTCCGCCGCCCAGAATCCTCCGGGCGGCTTTGGGAGGCTCTGGAGCTCGCCCCACGCCCGCCCCCCTCCCCTGCCCGGTCAGTTCCCCTCCCCTCAGCCCTGCTGGCCCCAGCCGGCTTCCTCCGGCTCGGACCGGAGAGCTCTCGAGCGTCCCGCAAGAGGGCCGGTAGTCTGGCTCGTCCAGGGAGGGTCTGGCTGCTCGCTTTGAAGTGCAAGGGCGGGGTCAGGGTGCCTGAGTTAGCCTGGCGGCTCTCTCGGCACCCCCTCAACTCCCACTCAGCCTCAGCGTTCCGTCAGCGCCCCCCAGCGCCTCCTCAGGGCTCTTTAGTGCCCCCTCAGCGTTCCCTCAGCGTTCCCTCAGCGCCCCCTCAGCGCCCCCTCAGCATTCCCTTAGCGCCCCGTCAGCGTTCCTCTTAGCGCCCACCCAGCGCCCCCCAGCGCCCCCCCAGCGCCCACCCAGCGCCCTCTGCGCCCCCCAGCGCTGTCCGGCGCTTGCGGGGCTGCGGCTCCCGCGCCGGGCCGCCCTCTTCCCCGCGGCTGCGCAGGGGAAGCAAGGCGCCCTCCGAGCCGAGCTTAAACCTGCCTCCGCCACGTGAGTGCAGGAGCGCCGAGTTCGTGCTTCCAGCAAACACTGTGGGCAGTGTGGGAACACAGGGATGCGCGGCCGCGTCCTTCACATCCCAGTTTTCTGGACCAGAGAAGCCCGTGTCCTCTCGGAAGCCGGGGGCGGGGCCCTTCCTTGTCCGGTAGAGGGGATTGACAGAGCTGACCTGAGTCCTCCTGCTCGCCATGCTCTTCATTTCTGTGGGGGAGCCCGGCGATCAATACGGCTGCAACGGGAAGACGCACAAGCCCTGTGTGTGGTGCCAGGCTCCCACCCAGTATTCCACGAATATCAACTGCTGTTGTTCCCACAAGATGCACTCGTATGAGTTGACCTCTAGGTGGGCAGCTGCAGCCCGTGGAAGACCCTATGTAGGTTAAACGCAAAGTGTGTGGTTGCTTTAAATACGTGTTATAAACATTTAATATTCATGATCCTGTGGGTTCCGTTTCAGAGCTGACTTCGGTTGAGGTTGAGCGCAAAGCCCAGGTTCATGGTCATGAATTTCAGTCCCAGAGTTCCAAGACGGCAGGCCCATGGCTTGGCCCGTTGAGTTTTGACTTTGATTTGCATGCCTCTGATCTGGGTTGTGTTAAGTTGCTGGGATGTGCTGTTCCTTCGAGGCGAGGCGTTCATTGACTTCTGATAAAAATGTAGCATTTGAAATCTCAAGCAAGCGGCTCGCTGAGCCTGTGTTGGCCGGCCTCGGACTGAATGAAACGCTGTTGGAGGCACCTTCGTTTCTGGCTTGTTTCTGAACATCCCACCTGCAGTCAGGAGCACAGGTATGCGGTGGAAACGGAGGTGTGAGAGGTGGGGAAGCGATGCAGTGTGTGTGTCTCCATTTTGGCTCTCAGCCCCAGATCCTATGACTCCAGAGTGTAACATTCAAAATAAAGGAAAGAAGAAATTAAAACAAGGAAGATAAAGAGCCTGAGTTGGTTATGTGAAGGGAGTTGTGCTAAATTTGTATTTTGATAATGAATAGGAAGAAAAGGCTTGAGTGTTGTTGTTTTCTGTATTTTCCCGACAGGGGAAAGAAAAATAAGCCTGAAAGCAATCCTGTTGGATTATTTGCTTATTCTTTTCATTGTTTTAATCTGTGCCTGTGTTAAACCAGGTGAACTGTTTTGAGCTGGGTTGGTGAGTAATAAAGAAGTCACAGTCTTCTGCAGGAAATAAGCATACAGAAAGGCTAGCCCTGCTACAGAATATGGGGCTTATCTTAGTAGAGGAAGGGCTTCCCATATGACTGCAATGGCCAGAGCTGAGCTGATCTGAAATCAGGAACCAGGAGCTTCTTCTGGGTCCCCACACAAGTGCAGGTCCCAAGGCTTTGAGCCATCATCTACTGCTTTTCCAGGTTACAAGCAAGGAGCTGGATGGGAAGTGGAGCAGCTAGGATACAAACTGGCTCCCATATGGGATCCCCGCGTGTGCAAAGAGAGGATTTAGCCACTGAGCTGGGTTCAAGTCTTGAATCCTCTCCATATTCCAGCTTCTTGCTAATGGGCACCCTAGGAAACAACAGGCCACCCTCAAGTGTTTGAGTCCCAGCCACCCATATGGAAGATTGATCGAGTCTTTGACTCCCATCTCTGTTCTGGCCCAGCACCCTCATTGTACCCCCAGCACCCCAATTGCACCCAGAACTCCTGTTGCATAAAGGGAAGATCTCTGTCCCTTTCTTTTGGTGTCACTTTTTCAAACAAAAAAATAAGTAAATCATTTTTTTTTTAAAAAAAAAGTGGCCTGCATATGGTGGGTGACGAAACCAAGTCATAAAACAATGTGCACGT